TATATATATATATATCAAAGTGAAATCGATATTTGGTCCAGTGGGCACCAAATATCGATGGACCAAATATCGATTCCCCAGATGGGTTGAAAACCCGGTGTGCTTGATTCTGATTCGAAGAGCCTGCGCCATGGAATTCGAACCCCCAACCCGATGGACTTATGACAGAGACTGCATAAGGGTTATACATGTAAATGGGATATGTTGTAAACGCTTTTTTAATAAATATAAACCTGTAATTTGCAAATGAATGTACAATATTATAGCTATGATATTTCAAATACTTCAAAATTCTTTTGGCTCTTTGAAACTTTCACAAGTAACCTACAATAGTTTTTGGTTTGCATTTGTGCTTCTATATTTAGTGAAAATATTAAGTTTTTTTTTTTACATAATTTTCTAATTTTTAAGATGATTTTTATTGTTATTGATTTTTCACTGCCAAACAATTTATTTAATCAAACACTAACCTTAAAGTAACCTTTTAATGAAAAATTCTTGGATGTAAATTCAAGGTCATTGAAACTCTATTTTTCACATACTTATGTTCGACTAGAACATCTTAGTAAGATGAACATGGTGATATTAAAATTAATAAGATACTGAGTTCAAATAAAGGACAAATCATTCAATCGAAATGTGATTAAAAACTTTAGAATGTTGATTGAATTTACAAATGGTTTACGAATCTTAAATACTTGTAGTTGAATCAAATGTCTTGACTAGAGTTCCTTAAATCACCGGATTTTGAGGATATTAACGTACTTAAATATTTAATGAATGATATACAGTCATAGAAAACAACACAAGTTCGACGAAGTGTTTTAGGACATGTCAAAATAACCAAAATGTTACTCTTAAAAAATTATAAATTAACTACATTCTTCACATGAAAAGATATTTCAAATTGAAAAGTGCATAAAGATCTAAAAAATTCTAGAGCTCATCCGAAGGCCACTAATAGCAATCATCATTATGTGACTAGTGTCTCTAAATGGTGGTTGCTCATGCATCTTCGTTTGATTATTATCTTCTATATGTTACTTACCATCACCCTTCATTTATTGTTGCCCAACAACTAATGTTCAATCATCATCATTCAACAATTATTATTTGATTGTCATCTTCGTCATTTCCAAAATGGTCTCAACCACAATGGAAGGATAAACATTATAATTTTGTCTTCTATAATAAGAGAAATCGGGGAGCCTTGTACTGTCAATCAATATAATGGATTTTTTTCTCACAAAATGACCCCATAATTTTTCTTTTTATTGTTTTTTATTTCTCTTATAAAATGTAGAGTATCAGGTGTACTATAACTTTTTTATGAGAAATCAGAAACCCTATTCTTAATACAACCTCCTATTCTTTTTATTATTATATAGATTTTAAATCAAAAGTTAGGGAAATTATATATATAAATCATTGAATTTGCTATTAAACTAGTCTAAGAACCTCTTTAAAGTAAGGACAAGTCGATCATAACTGTGGATGACATAACAATCACTCAAATTTTAGTTAAGTTACTTTCTCCTTAATGAGTTAGATAAAATAAATCTATGCATACCCAATAAGAAGCATGTGTAAATTAGTTAGTAAAATTTGGTTTTTAATACTTTTATAAGGTACACCTTTAATTGAAGTGACATTAAGTTTACTTTGACTGTATATTATTATGACAGAAAAAGGGCCCTATTAATTGTTTTGAAATAGGCCAATTGTAAAAAATCCGTACATTATATTTTAAGGAAATAAATTATAGATAGTTTTTTGCTATTTAACTATTAGGGTAGAGCACTACTAGAATTTAGGTGATTTCCAACGATCAAACACCATCAGCAGAAATAAATTTTTTTTTGTTTAATTAGAAACGGATGGTCAATAAAGCATTGTTTTTTTCTTATTGGTGGTGGGTTCCACCAGAGATCTCAAAAAAATTCTATCAAGATGATCGGATGAATCATTTATAAAATGATTTACTACTATGAGGAATAGAAATATTACCTTAGAATAAATCTAATCACTCAGATGATGAAAATGCTTATGATTTCCGGGACTGTGAAAACATGATTTTTTCTTCTATCTTATAAGTGTAAGATAGAATTTATTTTATTCTAAGTTTTGATATCCTTATGAGAGAAAGCCCTTATAGTTAATTACATCTTATGATTTATGACTCCTGAGAATACTATCAATTTTAGTGTTATCTCGTTCATGCTTATTTGGTAAGCATCTGTGAGGTTGACTCTTGACATTCAAATTAATAAACTCAAGGTTTTTGAAAGATTTCAAGGGAATTAAAGATTGGGAAAGTTTGATTTGGATTTACTAGAGGTGATGACTTGATTTGGTTAGTTTTAATTTCTCTTAAAAGTTTGTTATGAGTTAATTTAATTGGATTGATTAGGGTTTATTTTAAGTTATGGAAGCTATTTGTTTGTAGTGTGTTTAAAGTGTTATGAGGGTTGTTTGAAGGTACTTGATTTGATATGGGGGTGCTTAAAGTTTGTATTGTAATTTTTTGATATGCTTTAAAGGCTATCGAGCTTGCTTAAAATTTATTGAAGTTTATTAAAATTTGTTAAGGTTAGTTGAAGTTGATTAAAATTAGTTACGGTTGATCAAATTTGGTTAAGTTTTATTATGTTTCATTAAGGTTTTATTAAATTTAGTTGAAATTTATTAAATTTAGTTATGTTTAGGAGTCGGTTTTTCCTTTTAAATGTTTTAGGTTTTAGCTTTGAAAGATTTTAGATTCTTAAAGGTTTAAGCTTTGAAGTCTTATGGCATTTTATATATTTCAAATATTTTGAAATATTTTAATTTTTTAAAAAATAATTTTAAAAGTTTAAATGCTTGGAATATTAATGTTTTTTTTTATGTTTGAGACTTTTAAAGGGTTTTAGAATTTTATTTTAGCCTTGAGAAAGATTTTGATTATTCTTATATTTTTGCATCCTTTAAAGTAGTTTTGAATGGTTTGGATTTTACAAAAGGTTTAGAATTTGGTTTGAAAGGATTTTGAAAGGTTTAAGGCTTCAAAATGTTTGGAAGTTCGAAATGACATGTTGAACAAAATTTAGGGTATTGAAATAGTTTGGACTTGAGATTTGATATTGAAGATTTGACTTGAAATTTGAAATGGGAGGTTTTGATATTAGGTTTAAACTAGAAATTTGGTTTTGACGTTTGTATTTGAGGTTCGGATTGAAGATTTCATTTTGATTTTTAGATTTGACCCTAAACTAAAGGAAAGATAAGCTAACTAATTTCTAGATGGGGATGAAGCTTTGACCTTAGAATAAGCCTACACTATCAAGGAGAATAAATAAGTGAACAAACTTATTTTTTGGGAATTACACCCCTAATCAAGATGCCCATAAGTTTCCATCATCGTGAGTGTATTAGGGTCCTTAATTAGTGCTCTTCACTATTATCTTGGTGATGATGAATGTTCAACTTCTTCCTATTAGGTGGTTTAAGGTGCTTGTGTGAGTAAACAATGATGCCTTTATCTTAGGGCATCTGTATAATCTAAAGGGATAAGACTGTTTATTTTATATGTTCTAGTCCTTAGAACTACGTATGGGTACTTATTAGACTAACCTAGGCTCTACACTAGACTACTCTAGGGTGTATACGATTCTTGGTTTTGTGTTTAATTTAGTTAACTTATGGTTTTAAGGCTAATATACCAAGTTTTTATTTGCATGATTTAGATTTAGTGAATTTTAATTTATTTTTTAGGTTTGATATATAATTCATAATTTATTTTGATTCATAGTTCTTTAGTCATGGAGAAAATTTACAAGTTTTTTATTTGTTTTCTCCTAGTTTGTTGGTCATTTGTAAAATCAGATTTCTTCTAATATAAGATTTGCATTTGATTTAATATTCTAAGTATATTTATTTGATTTCTCTCTCATCTAGGTTCGATCTCTAGTTCTGTGCTGATCATTATATTCTAAGAATAAGTTTTATTCAAGGCTTTTATGCTTAACATATGTAAGTCTTCTTCACATAATTACTTTTTTGAAATTTTTATACACATGAAAAGGAAGTTTTTATAATGTATTTTTTCATCCAAAAAGTTTTAGCAATGGGAATTTACTTATTTTGAAAACGTGCATGAATCAAACTACCCAATGCTTATGTGCTTGAGGGCTATGCTTACTTATTAAGGTAAATTATCATTCATGAAACTATACCTATGAAAATGCATAAGTCTTGCTTAGATTGTGATGTTAAAGAGGATTTGCAAAACCATGAAATTTTGAGTTCGAAGAAATTTTGTTTATATTTTATATTTGAAAATGGTCTTTTAGAAGACATTCTTGAGGTCAGATTTTCTTAAGTTTATCTCTTAAAAGATTAGCTTGCGTTTTGGAAAAAATCAAAAGTTTAAAGAGGGCTTATTTAAGAAAAAAAGATTTGTCTAAAGTATGGGTTTAAAGAGTTCTATTAAAGTTGTTTGAAAAATATTTTTAATTTGAAAAGGCTTTGCTTAGTTAAAGATTTGAAAGGATCTTGTTTTAAATTACATCTATTCACATTTTAAAAAAAAACTATTAAGTGGTCATATTTGGAAAGCTTTGTTAAATTTTGTTTGTTCGTTTTTTTTTTTGGAAATCACGCTTGAAGTCTTAAGGTGGTTTCTTTTAGGCTAACTCAACCTTATTGTGGAGGTAGTACTTATGATAGAATTTTATAGTTTATATGACAAAAATATCATTTTGGAGCCTAATTCAGTT